CTGGTAAAAAGGTGTGATAGAAATAAATATAACAACAATAACCTTGATTTCCAAGCCTTTTGCCATCTTATTCATTTTCCTCCAGACTCATTCCAGCTTAAATGGTGGCACCCAGAACCAAATACAGTATATTAAATGTGGGTCTGAACAAAGCAGAATAGATAAGTAGTGTTCAGGCTGTTTACTCATGATAACACTGTCTACCCATGTAGGTAGAATTTGACACACATTTAGTCCTGAACACTGAGACTGTATAGTAAATTTGATGGTTATTTGGCATATGCAGTGAGTTGCCAGATTTGCCATTTGGGTGTGATTAAGAAGTCACTATCACAATGAATGGACAGTTTGGTAACTTATAATACAATTTTCTCTCTAGCTTTTAATTATGCTGTTGAATCATGGCAGGTACTTTTTCTTAATCTTCCCGAGTTCATGTCAAACAACCCTTCATGTTCTATTTTATATTTTTTTATTAATGGACTGCAAATGAAAAGTATTGTTAAGCAATGTAGCACTGATATGATTAAGCTTCTCTTCTTCCAGACATTTGTTTCACAAATCTTTAAGTGCTCAAATCAACTAATGTTTTGACTGCGTTATGCTCAAGCCTAAGGAGGGAGATTTGATTTATAATTGAAATTGGCATTTGAATGGCTATCCTTTCTCTGAACTGTGAAAGACAATCATCTTTCTTAATGATCATTACACTAAGGAATGGTTAACGCTCCATCCTTCCACATCTCCCTACCACATTTATTAGATTAATTTTCATCTCCTTTTTAAACCATATCAACGTGACATTTACATATTTATACAAATGACTATTGCATTTTGTTCATTTTATTCCACTAGATTTCTATCCCCCCCACCTCCTCTAATGAAGCTTATTACATTAATGAATGAATGCTGCCCTCTTATTTCCAATGTCAGAATGTTTTGCACAAAACTAGTTCTTCATGAAATTTCTGTCACTTGCTGTCATGGCTGATAAAAACATTTTTTTTCCACAACAGCATGATATGGGACCTCCTTCCACACCTGCTTGCATCTTAAGGTCATTGGCTGATTCTTTGTTCAAACTACCACTTATATCAGAGGCAATGGCATCACTAGGGTTGGTATCACCCAGTGTGTGGGGGACATGAATTGCCCTGCCTCCCATCTGGCCAGACTACTGCCCTCAGCCTTCAGAGTCCTGCATGGCTGCTGCTGTGCAAGACTTGGAAATACTGCTGCCTCCAGCAGCCTCTGCTACTGATGGGAGCAGTGCTGCAGCCTTTAGAGCAGGGATAGGCAACCTTTCCCCTTTAAGGGCCGAGGGACTTCAGCTCCCAGAAGCCTCAGCCATGCCGGCCAATAGTCCTATGTTGGCCAACAGCTCCTGGGATTCTGGGAGCTGAAGTCCCTCAGCCCTTAAAGGGGAAAGGTTGCCTACCCCTGCTTTAAAGGACTTGTTTAGAGTCTGTGTTGCTGCTGGGCAAGTAGGAAAGCACCTTTTCTTACTTGCCAAGTAGTCATGCCACTCCCTCTGGGTGTACCACCTACTGGGATGTTACCTGGTGTGGTCTGTACCTCCTAGTGATGCCACTAATCGGAGATAAGATATGTTCTAATGAGAAAAAGAGCCTTTTTAAGGAGCATTGACACCGAGAACTTGGAAGTAAAGAGTTACAGATAATGGCCAGAATCCTGCATGGAAGTTACATCTTTGAAAGTGGACTTACATATGTAGAAATTATAATTGGGCTGTTTTGTAATGTCCATATGTATTAAAGGGCTGCTTTACATTGCTTTACATAGCAGAGCCAACAAACTGAACATTGTACAATGAGGCCAGTATGCAATGGAACTGATGCCTTTCTCCATTATAAAAAGGTAAAAGATAAAGGTTTTCCCTTTGACAAGATTGTCAGATCATGTGGCCAGCATGACTTCACAGAATGCTGTTACCTTCCCACTGAAATGGCACCTATTTATCTACTTGCACTTTTACATACTTTTGAACTGCTGGGTTGGCAGAAACTGGGACTAGTGACAGGAGCTCACTCTGTCAAGTGGTGCTTGGTCCTCAAACTACCGACCTGCTGATCTTGCAATTGTCAGAGTTTGACGATTCTGATATATATTCCAATATACATCTTTGTACTTCACTAGCATGGTTTCTTAGTGCCTTGGCTACTTGGATAATATATGTAAAGTTACATTAAGTAAAAGGTGATGTAGGTTTCTGGTGAATGTAACTCCTTACTTTTAGGTGTAATAAGAGTGTAACCTAGTTACATTTCAAAAGCAACATAATGAACAAGTCAGGTTATTTTCCTGATGTAATAAAGAATAGTATCTCATAACTTTAAAAAGTTACTTTTAAAGGCATTTTAAAGGCATTGTAACAGGATCTTTTCCCCAAAATATATACCATTGTTTTATCAATCCTAATGTTTCTTCACAGACAAGTAATAGAAAATAACAGAAAGAGCTACACAACAAGGATTAGCAACAGATTATTTTTCAAATGCTTCCAGTATGAATTCATTTTGCTGTAAATGACAGTCAATGCCCTAAATGACTTTGGACTGTAATACTTGAAGTACTGCCATCCCCTATGTATATCTACTGTAGAACTGATGTCTGCTGAATAAGATCGCCTTTGGCTCCCATTTATGAAGGAAATACATCATGGGAAGACATGGGGAAGGGCCTTCCCTCCTATGGCACCTGATTTTTAGAATGCCCTCCCTTTTAAGGCCTGACTGGTTGCCAGCATTGGCTTCATTCCACCAACAAGGTAAAACATGGCTTTTTCTTAAAACCTTTGGTGCCTAATTGATTCCACCCCCACCCAACCCCTATGCACATGAATTTAAGCTGCTTAACCTTTTCTTCTGAAGTCTTAATTTCTTAATTTGTTCAATATGCTGTTAATATGCTCAAATGTTATTTATAGTTTTATATTCTATATTTTTAAAACTTTTAAAATTTATGTCCTTTATATACTGCTCTAAACATTTGTGATAAGATATAAATATTTATTGTATCATATTATTATATATTAGATTGTATCAGATTAGATGTGATGTATACACTGTGATGAGCAATGCTGTGAACTACATTTTAAAAAGTAACTTTCTAAGCCCGGATGCCTCCACATTTGTGGAATTTTCTTTCTAGAGTATTTTGCCCTTTGTTCCAACATATCTTCATTCACATAAGAATGCCAAAATCTAGATACATATATGTCAAGGACAGCAAATGAATACCATCTTTTGGGAAAGTGTGGTACCTGTACATACAATATAATCACCCCATCTTCACTCACTGCATTCTGTGTGAAGTTCATGCCTCCTATGTTTGCAGTTTTATAGGAAGAAAGAAGTTGTAAAAATATGCTGTAATAGCTGTATAAATTGGCCCTGATTTCAATTATCAGCTTTCTTTCTTTCTTTCTTTCTTTCTTTCTTTCTTTCTTTCTTTCTTTCAAAAAAATCTAAGAAACAGAATCACATTTTATCTTGCTTAATAGCCAGTACAACATTAACAAATGAGAAGGGAAATCCAAGCAAGTGAGCTAGAACTGTTTTAAAGCTCCATTTGGCTGGACTCTCCTCTTCATTACACCAAACACCACATTAATTGTGCTTACTGTGGCAGACCACATGACAGCTAATCTGTTTGTTTTAATTTAGCTGAACATCCCACATTTGATCAAGAAAACCAGCTGTGTTCTCATTAAACTTGCCACAAGCAGAGACAGATGTAAATTTTACAATTAAAGTCTTCCATCCATCCATCAAAAAAGCATCCCAGTTGGGAATACATCTTTTCTCAAAAAAAAAAAAAATGTATGGTTGACAAGTAGTAAAATATCATTTAGTTGGGGTACAAACAGATTGCAGCTATGCCAGGGAGAGAGATGCTTCTGGGGTAAACAGCTTGAGATAACTCATACAATTAACTAGGTCACACAAGGCAGGAGGAGGCAACAATATTTGCTTCACTGAAGAAGGGAGGACCTGAGATTTAAATCCTCTGTTTTATGGATGGAGATCAATTTAGAGACAATGAGAAAACAAAACAAAAAAAAAAAACTGAAGAACAGAGTCATTAGTTGCTAATGACATAGGAGAAGGTTACTTAGAAATGAATGCCATCTTATACTGAGTGAGATTACTGGTCCATCTAGTGCAGGGGTGGCCAACTGTAGCCCTCCATTTGTGGCCCTGAGCTTCCACAATCTCCCATCATTGGTTATTGGGCTACTGGGAGCTGTCATCCCATAATAAGCCTGAGCCCGCATAATGTAGTGATTTAAGTGTTAGACTAGAACTGTGGAAGACCAGAATTTGAATCCTGCTCAGCTATGGCAACCTATAGGACAAGACACACACTCTCAGCCACAGAGGAGGGCAATTACAATCATTCAAAGGTTAAATCTTGCAAAGAAAGCCCTAAGTCTTTAATAAACATAAGAACAACAACTTCTGGAAGGCCACAATTCCCAATTTGGTACTATCTGTACTAGCCTTCCCAGATTTCTATGGGGCTGTACTGCCTGAAACGGGTAGTGGCAAGCCACCCCTTTGCTCACTGGATCAGGGCCACAGCAACCGCACACTGTGGCCCTGATCCAGTGCTTTGCCGCTGCTCCTTTTTAGAGCAGCAAAATGTCACCCTTGCTGTAGCAGCGGTGGCTTTTCAGTGTTCCTTTGGTGCAGCATGTGTGTGCACGCTGAGCCAAGGGCATGCTCTGACACCTCCTGTCATGCAGTGGGGTGTGTGGCATGAGACCGGCATGAGGACAATCAGGGTGGCTGGTGTGCAGTCACCATACACCCCACTCTGCCCCCAGGCTGGCTCTTTATGCCAGTCTGTTCAGCTCCTATAGCAACTTTTTTTTCTATTAGAACGGTTACATATTTGTCTGTATTACATTTAGTGCTTTACATCTCCTTTGCATCTTCTACCCAAGAATAAGTCTACCCACTTTCTCCCAATCGAAAGCCAGCATGGTGTAGTGGTTTGAAGGTTGGACCACAGCTCTGGAGACCAGGGTTTGAATCCCTGTTCAGCCATGGGATCCTACTGGATGACCTTGGCCAAGTCACACTCTCTCAGCCTCAGAAGAAGGCAAAGAGCAACTCTTACCAAGAAAATCCCATGAAAGGTTCATCTTAGGAAACGAAACAACTTGAAGGCACTCAACAACAACCTTCTCCCAAAGAAGTACCAAAAGTCTGGGAATGCAGTTTATACCTTTCATTGTGCTCTGCATGACACCCTAATGGAAGCCATTTGGTACATTCAAGTGGCTAAACAATTCTATTACAACATTTTAAAAAAATGGATGGATAGTAGTTTTCCACATGTTTTAGAGGGGGAATATTTACCAAGAGAGATAAAAACAAAGTTTTTGTTTTGCTTTGTTTCACCTCTATGATCCAGGCAGACTGAAAATGAGACTCAGGTATTTTAATGTGGTGGGTAGCCAGGATTAATTTTACCTCATTAATGAGCTGTTACTTTTCACCTCATTTATGAGGTGTTGATTTCAACCCCATTAATGAGGTGTTAATTTGTATCTCATTAATGAGGTGCAAATTGCCTGGGATTTGGCATCAATTATCCCACATGAACACACTTTAACTGCAAATGGGTGGCAGACCTACTTCTCAGATGTAAATTATATGTAAGATCTAATGTTCATTTACTTACCCCCTTCAGTCAAATAAATACCGGTAGTAGTTTTATGGTTTTTATTTCAGCACTGTGCGCAAATGGATGTAATTGGACCACTTCCCAAATTCAGTCTCACTCTAATTGTCTCTCTCTGCATGTGCCCTTAATCCAGATCATAAAAGTTCCCCATCCGTCAACTGGCATTATCCTCTTCCCAAGCTTCATCCACCATGGAGTTGTAGTAGTGAGAAGAAAACCCTGTTGTCATCATTGATCAATGATTGGCTATAACATTGGGGATTCATAGAAGTTCATTTCCCTGCTTGTTTTTCCCAAATGAGAAGTTTCACAACCAGTTGAGGAATTATCTGTGCCAGATAAGGCTCATGCACCTGATTCCCACTTTGGATTTAGGGCTTTATATGCTAATCCTGATATAGTGAACCTGGCTTGGTAGATTTCCCACAGTTGACTGGGAAAAGGGCCTATGCTAGCAAATGCTGAATGAAGCCACCTTGATCAAACCAGAAGGAAACAGGACTTCAGGAGCTGTGGCCCTCCCCCAAAGGCTGAAGAAATATCCTGTTGTCATCCAGCCCATGATGTCATCTAGCCAAATGTAAGATCCAGTTTCCTGAAAGATTGTCTACCCCTATATAGATTAATACGAGATCAAGAGAGATCTTGTGTCAGCCAGATTTCTATCTTGGAATAATACTGAAATATACATTCATGCCCATGAATGGATGAATGAATGAATGCATTCTTAAAGGACACTAGGACTTTTAATTTTTAGTGAAACTATATTGTTAACATGTTTAAGTGTTTTTAGATGTTTTAGCTGTTTTAATAATGTTTTTGTTTAAAATAATGTTATTTAATTTCCATTTAACTTTTGCAATCAGTGTTTTAACTGTTTTTGTTTTTGAAACTCTTGTAAGCCATCTTGGGCCCCACTTTGGGGAAAAAAGGCAGGATATAAGTGAAATAAATAAATAGGTAAATAAATAAATAAATCTACCCTAAGTGTGTGCTGAGAAATTGGAGAGCTGCTAGGAGGAGGACAAATTCTCTAATGGTTTCTAAAGGAGAAGGGGCAGTAGTAGTGCAACATCTCCCCTTTCTTTTCTTTCTTTCTTCATTTCTCTTCCTTTCTTCTTTGGATCTCTGATTGCACATGGTGGCATGTGAGAGATTGGTCTCCATTTTGCTTACTTCATAATAACTCTGAGGGGATGGGGAAAGAGGGGACATACCATCATAAACATCACAAAAATATTGACGATACTCAAATAAACATCTGAAAATGCTGGATATGATTGAAATGGACAAATCAACATGCTGGACAAATGGTAAGCCATTTGGTGAAATAGAGAAAGAATGAAATATACTCACTGACTTTTGTAAAAACAAATGGAGTTGAACAACAGCAGGAAAACAAATAAAGAAATAACAGTAACAAAGAAACTTTATAATAAAAATATAGGAAACAGACACTGTAAGATATATTGACTCAAGTGGAAATATAAGTAATTGTAATAAATTTGAAGCAACTGTTAATGAATTATGTTTGAAAAGAAGTAGAAGATCATAAAGAAATGTAACACCAAACAGAAAAGCACAGGAGGTTTATGATAACACTATATACACTACACTACAAATCAATTTTATTAACAAATACAGAAATTAGAAATAATCAAAGAAACAAATATATGTAAAAAATGTTGGTTAGTGATATATCTGTTTTCACAAGGGAGTCATTCCAGACCCCCCTCCCCACAAAAATGGAAAACCTCCAATATTCAATCCCCATTGGCTTGAATGGCAGCGTGCACCCCATTTATCCCCCCTCCATTTGCCACCCATCAATGGGCAAGGGACATGGACTCCAAGTCTGCAAAAATGGATGGGGCAACTGTGTATGCATTTAGCTTTGTTTAAGGTCAAATTGTAGATGTTTTCATGTATGTGATAAGTGGGTTGTTAATAAAAGATTTTATTTTTTTAAAAATCTATAATTGATATTTCCCCTAAATTTGAAGTAGGATTCAATTATTTCCCAGATTATGTATCTGGATCTGTGTAGTGAATGGTGTGATGAGGGAGAGGACTCATTTGATGGCCTCCATGATTAGAAGCCAGGGGTTAGGCATCAGGCACAGGGCATCAGGATGCTGTGCTTATAGAGGGCAGAGCCAGAGGCTATTTAAGGCCCCTTTGCCCTTTATGCATCTCTTTGATTTTCTTTTGTACACCTTGGGACCCTTCTCTTTAGGTCCTGTGACTCAAGATGAGGTGCAAAAGAAAGTGGAGGTTTTGCTCTCACTTACAGAGAGACAGGGAGTTTGCCTTCCAGTAGATGACCAGCCAGGGAGCAACTCAGTTATTGGATTGCCCTCAAGACTCAGGTGTTTTGTCCAAATAAATGCTGTGGAAGTAGGCAAATGATGATACTTGGCCTCAGGTGATCCTGCATCAGATTGCTCTTGCGCTTTTCCATGTTCAAACTAATTTAAATAGGATCTTGGTCAAATAAATTTGACCTTCCTTTAGCCCAATTTTCTGTGTCTGGTCTCCTGATTCCATGGTCATCATGGCTGGTCATCAAGAAATCTTTATTGCATTGTAAACTGTAGTAAACCCTGCTAAAAAATGGCATTGAAACTCTCATGTTTCTCCAGCCCTCCTTCACCGAGTATATTTCTTCCTTTTTCACTTCACAATGCTAATACTGCAAAAGCAAAACAAAACAAAAACCCTTCCAGCTAGAAAAAGGACAAGGAGAAAAGGAGGGAAGATGCTAAAAGACTTTATAAAAAAGTGTTTTTTTTCCCCGAGTCTTTGCTAGATGCGGTATGTCTGTATTTGCTTTGTTTTGTTTCATTTTGTTTACAACATTCAACCCACAGTGCATTTATTTATAAACTGGAAAGTATAAAGAATGATTTGCATCCATCCAGCTTTTCTTGGAAATGCTCCTGGAATTAATGAGTGCATATACAATCTTTACATTTAAAATAATTGCCTCCCTTGCTTTCACCCACTCAGATTTTACTTTGATAGAAAATAGCTTGATTCACATTTGTTTTTTGTTTTTTTAGATCAACACAGCAGTATGAAATGATATATTCAGCTGCTGACATATATTCCTAGATCTATTCCTAGATCATAGGTCAGAATGGAAGTTGCCTGTTGCTTTGCAGAGATCACTTAAGAGGCCACGATATGCTGAGTGAGTCATCGTGTGGCAGGTCACTGCTGCATCATGACTGATGTTGGTAGTTTCAGGATATCAAGTGATCAGCGCATTTAGCTTGTGAATAATGCATGGGGTGTAAATTGTGAAGTCATATACTGCCTATAGGAAACTGTTTACAGTGAATCAGCTGGTATGGTCATGAAGTCAGCTGGCATTGTTGATTTCATAGAGGAAAGGAAAGAAGGCTGCATATAATGGATAAATCCCAAGAAGCAGTGGCAGCAGAAAGTGATATTTCTTTCTCCTTCCTTCTTCCATCACCTCTCCCCCCCCCCATTCCCCATGCTTCTTCTCAAAGTTGGAGCATCCTCCTCTACAAAGTAGACTGTGGCATAAAGTTGTTGTGACTTCCATTCACAGATGTTGCTTTTTCTTGGTTTGAATTGAATCTCCTTCCCCCTTACCTCATGCACTGTACCATAGCTCTTATGAGAGGTTTGAAGGGGTAGAATCAGGAACAGAGTTGCTCTAAAGAGAGTATGAAAGTCTCTTTCCATCATTCTTTTTTTGTCCAGTGTTTCCAGGGATACAAGCTAATGGGGATATCCTTGTACTCTGAGCATGTCCCTAAATTTGAAAATCTAAATTCCACTTCCTGCAATTGAAATATTTAGAGTGCCAAAGTTCCACAGTGATCATAAGCCCCCACAATCAGTAGAAATACTGACAGCTTTCAAGTGTTCCAAAGCATTTCTCATTAATTATGTGAATGGTTCTTCAAGCCTCCTGTCAATTTATGTCAACCCCATGAATTTCATAGGGTTTTCTTAGGCAAGAAACATTCAGAGGTGTTTTTGCCAGTTTCTTCATATGATATGTAGCCTACATTACCTGATATTCATTGGCAGTGTCCCACCCAAGTACTGGCTAGATTCCAAGATCAAATGGGATCTGGTACCTTTAGGGTATTATTTAGTTGTACTCCTTATTATCATATATGGTATAAAGTAATCCAATATTATTATTGTCTATGGATGCATCTGCATGGCTGAAATAATCTGGTTTGACACCACTATATCTGCCATGCCTGAGTGCTATGGAATTGTGGGAATTGTAGTTTGTTGTAGCAGCAGAGCTCTAGCTGGATCTATAATCTATGTATAATCTAAAATCTCACATTGTTAGGTAGATACTATG